CCCAAACCCCGGCGACTGAGCGCCTCCCCCCAACCCCGGCAGTGACAATATTAGTACCAAGGACGAGAATGTCGATTCATAATCGATGTTGGAATGAAGCTCCTCTTGTTTTGGTCGCCTTGTCACGTTCAGAGTAAATGTGGTAGAGATGACGGTCCCCCCTTAACAGACAAAGACACTGAAGTTCGGTCCCCGGGAGAGAGAAAGGTGGGCTGCGCCGACCACGTGGCCGGGTGGAAGGGGGTCCCCGTGGGCGAGGGCGCCCGGAGCGCGTAAAGTGGGGAGAAACCTGGTAGAGGCAAGTGCGGGAACCCGGGACAGAGCCCAGGGAGAGGGCGAAGGCGGGGAGCCTCTGNTTGGCGCCTCCGCCCGCCTTCCCCGGACGCCTCCCTGGAAGGACTGGCTGAAACGGCTCCTGGATCCAGACGCGTCGAGGTAAAGCTGGTTTCAGCTCCGCGTCCCCCAGCCCCGGCTGCGCCCGGTCCCGCCTTCCCTCAATTTGCATCCAAGGCTGGAGACAGAATCAGTTTAAGGAAGATGGGCTGTAATTCTCACCCACAGCTCTTCCCGCCTGTCAGCTGCTGTGGAAACAGGCCCGGGTTTTGGTTTTGAGCGTCTTCATTACTTTGTTTAGTGTATATTCGTTTAGGGAAAGCTTTGTGTTAGGCCTGCGGAACAAAGACAGGGAGGGCACCTTCCCTGCCCAGCACAGACCGCAATCAAAAGGAAGACACTTTATGGATACAGTAACATACCAGAAACGCAGGCTTAAGGCCTGTAAAACCGTAACATATAAAAGTAAGCCAAGTTAGTGTCATTTTAAAGCCATTTAAAAACAAAGAACAGAAAGCACAATAAATAAGAATATACTTTAGCTTCAGATTGTGTCCATAAAAGAGAGAGACCAGTCAAGTAGAAAAGAGAGAGCAAAGAAAAATATTGGAAAATAATTCAGTAGGCAATATGAGTAAAAGAGGCCCCAAAAGAAAACAAAATCCATAGATTATTCATAATATCTCAGACACACAATCACAAACAGATGTATCTACACACAAGTCTTTAAAAGAAAGCTATAATACATAGAGAGAAATAGAGAAGAGCAGAAATAGTGGATAATAGAAACAAAAAAATCACTAATTCATAGAAAAATATTAAACATTTTATATTATAAAATTTCTGCTGAAGACTTGAATATAACATTTTGCAATTTAAGTATATTTGCAGATTTATGCAATTATAAAGGATGGAGGGAAATTATAGGAAAATAGAAGACTTTGGGGTTCTATAAACTTAATCACATTTCTGTTACTTATAAGCTATTTGACCTTGGGAAATTAATTTCTCTGACCCTTAGTTTTTTCATTCATATCATGGGGATAATTGTTTTTACTTTATGGAGTTGTTTGAGCTTTAAATAAGATGAAATGTAAATCACTTAGCCCAGTGCCTATCTCTAAATAAGTTATAGTTATTAATATTATTATTATTACTATTAGTTTATTTTAATCCTGCCCTTTGTCTTGTTGGCCAATTAAGTTAAAGATTAGATTTCAAAAGTACTAGGTTCCCTCCCGACTTCACAGAATGTACCATGTACTTAAAGCTTACAAGTTCTTGCCCTGGCTGGTGTGATTCAGTTGGTTGAGCATCTTTCTGTGCACCCAGAGATGGCCAGTTAGATTCCTGGTCAGGGCTTCTGACTCCATCCCCTGTAGGAGGAGTGCAGGAGGCAGCCCACACATGTTTCTCTTTCTCCCGCCAGTCCCTTCCTCTCTCTCGCAAATCAATAAAAACATAACTTTAAAAAAAAAACAAAACTCGCATTTCTTGGCAAATCTAAAAAAAGTTGTACTTTTTAAAAATGGGGATTTATACCTGTGGGTGAACCGAGGGAATACAATTACAGTCCAGCTAAACAGCATTGCGTGAAAGGCCCCTGCAAAGGAGAGGCTTGCAGAAGCGGGAAGGATGAGTGCACCGCCCTCCTCCCTGGTCACTGTTAAATGTTTATAGAGAGGTAGGGATACCATTTTTCCTTAGAATAACCAACATCCCTATAGTACTTCTTAGCTCAGAGTACTCGAGTACTTTTCACATCATCTGACTCCATTCCCCAATTTTCCTTCCACTTGACCTCCAGTTACTTTTTCAGCTTGCAAAAGGGGCAGTCAGAAATGTCAACAGAAAAGTCCACACAAAGTAGCGAGCTTGACGCCAGTGGGGCCTTAAAGGTCAAGCTGAAGGTAATTTCCTCATCACTGTGCTCTGCCCTTGACCTCATCACAGAAGGCAGTCATTGGGCAGGCCAAGGACCTAGTGGCTCCTGGCTCTCTGGTAAACAGAAAAGTGCTAGCTCTGGTCTAGAAAGAGGGCACAGTTCACAGCCCTTTCTCCCAGTATTTGCCCAAGTGGGCGGGAAGGAGGTGGGAAAAAATGGAAAGGCCTTGGGCGTGAGAGAATTGCCTCAATCTCTATTTGCATATGTGAGATCAAGTTCTTTACCTTGTAGGAAAGAATCTGGAAATCCATTTTCATTGCCTTTGTAGAGTTGTTGAGAAAATTAAACACAAACTTCTTTGAATAATATCTGGGTAGCTATTATTATAGTTCATCTGATGTAGAGTTGGTCTAGGACTTTAGGGTCGGGCATCATAAAACCCCACTCCTCTTTCTCCACTTCCACGAAGCTTGGAATGCTAAGAATCTGCACTAAGGTGGGTCGGATTTCCCAAATTTGCACTGACATTGCTGGTAGATTCCTCTCAAATGACCCAGGTTCAAGAACTTTAATGCAGGGTTTCTCGTGACCTGGTTCATAGGTCGAGGCTGCTGGGCAGAGAGTCTGTGTCCTTAATCATCTGCTACAGTGCCTCTGGGACACTTAGCTCTTAAGCGTGGCCCTTTGAGATTACTAAGGCATAAATTTAAATAAGCCGCCTGAAATGGGATGTTTTGTCCCATTTTTCCCATTTATATAAACTCCTGAATATCCCTTTCCCTCCTCCCCCCAACAATGAAAATACCGTTGTTATTATATTAATTGTAAAAATGACATAAGCTCATTTGAACGACACAAAATTTGAACGACACAAAAAGTTATAAAAATTCAAGATAAAGACCAGGGTGAGGCAAGTGAGGCACTTGCATGCAAAATTTCAGGGGGAAGCAAAAACACAATAATCAGATATTTTCATTCACTATTTTAAAAAATAAAAATTAATGCAAAAAAATCCATGATGAGCAAAATATCAAAATTTTAAATAAAGATAAGCTCTGTGGGCTGGGACAGGGTGTGGCAGGTGAGATGCTCATACTCAGGATCATGTAAGTGCAAAGTCAGGTCCTATCTATATTTAAAATGTTGATATTTTGTTTATCATTACTTTTTTCCTGCATTAGTTTTGAATTTTTAAAAAATTGCATTAACATGTTATTTGTGATAACAGTTTTTTGGGGCATTTCCTTAAATTTTGTAGCTAAGGTGAGTGTCTCACTCAACTAACCGTAACCCCAAACCTGATGAAAATGAAAGGAGATTGCTCCAAATCAGAGATCACTGCTGTTAATGTTTGGTGAACAATTTTGCAAACACCTCTCTGATTTGGCATGTTTTTTTTTATCTGCACTATTCCTATCTTTTTGAAATATTTTGGTTTTTACTTATGTAGCAAACAAGAGTAGTGTCAACAGCATCATTTTAAGGGGCCACATGGCAATCCACTTTATGTGTATACCGTAGAAATTTATAATCAACTCCCGATTTATTAAACAAGACTGCAACAAACATTATTGTACATACTTTTTTGCCCACTGACTTGATTATTTTCTTGGAATAAGTTCCTAGAAGTGGAATTGCTGGGTCAAAGAGTTTGTGTGTGCACTACTTTTATTTTTTTTAAATATGTTTTTATTGATTTCAGAGAGAGGAAGGAAGAGGGAGGGAGAGAGAGAAACATCAATGATGAGAGAGAGTCATTGATCGCTGCCTTTTGCATGCCCATGCTGAGGATCGAGCCTGCAACCCGGGCATGTGTCCTGACCTGGAATCAAACCTCGATCTCCTGGATCATAAGTCAGTGCTCAACCACTGAACCATACCAGTTGAGCTGTGCACTACTTTTAAAAGCAATAAAGCTGCCCTGGCTGAGTGGCTTGGTTGGTTGGAGCATGGTCCCGTGCACCAAAAAGGTTGTAGGTTTGATTTCTGGTCAAGGCACATACCTAGGTTTCAGGTTCGATCTCAGGTTGGGGTGAGTACAGGAGGCAACTGATCGATGTTTCCCTCTCTCTCCCTTCCTCTTTCTCTAAAAATTAATAAAAACATATCCTCAGGTGAGGATTTTAAAAGAAGCAATAATACCTATTTGGGAGTTACCAGCAATTGAATTTAGTGACTTCATGCAAAGATTACAGAATTTTAAAAATATTTTTTCTTTTCCTTGGACAGGCCCAGGAGACAAAATGTCATCAAAAATTTTGCCCGTACCACTGGCTACTGGAGGTGAGGAAGAAATCAATCCATGAATTCTTGCTTTGTGCCTAGTACGGTTAGTCTCCATAGCAGGCTGGGAAAGTAAGAAAGGGGGGATGCTACACAGGAAGCATCGCACATGGTCTCTAGTAAAGAACTTATAAACTACCTGCTGAGAAAGTTCTCTTCTACCTTTCAATTCTCTAATGAAAAATCTTTAAATCAAGGGGCATTAAACTCCTGTATTTAGCAAGATTGACAGTCTTTCAGACATAAAACCACTAACTCAATTATTTGTCATAATAACTGACATGAATAACTACATTTTATGAAAACCTATCATCTCCTTTCCTTCACCAACCTTTCTATCCCTATCTTTCCACTTTTTTTAATCTTTATTATTGAAAGTATTACAGGTGTCCCTTCTTTCCCCCCCATTTGACCCCCTCTACCTCACTCCCACCCCCTCCCCAGGCCTTCACCCTGTTATTGACTATGTCCATAGGTTATGCATATATGCATGTAACTTCTTTGGTTAATCTCTTCCCACCTTCCACCCCCCTTCCCTCTTTCCTCTAAAATATGATCATCTGTTGCATGCGTCAATGGCTCTGGATCTATTTAGTTCATCAGATTCTTTTGTTCGTTAGCTTCTTCTTAAAGAAGACCCTTCAACTTTTCCTGTAGTGCTGGTCTGGTGGTTGATGAACTCCTTTAGCTTTTTCTTATCTGTGAAGCTCTTTATCTGACCTTCAGTTCTAAATGATAGCTTTGCTGGGTAGAGCAATCTGGGTTGTAGTTCCATGTTTTTCATCACTTTGAATATTTCTTGCCGCTCCCTTCTGGCCTGCAAAGTT